ATTAGCAAAAAAGCCAGCAATTTGTTATGTGACTAAATAAGTGAAATTAATCGTACCATTCAACTCAGTCTCGTTCCAAGTTGCGAAATTATTCTTTTCCAAATCCTCCAGGCACCTCAAGCAAAAACTGTGCAAACAGGGCAAAACTCTGGGTTCGAAATACGGATTTTTGCACAAAGGACACCTAAATTTTGCTTCTTCAATAGGCGACCCAATCGCGGGTTTTCCACGTGGACTTTGTAGCGATCTTTTGGTGTTTAGGGGACTTGATCTTAAATTTAGAGCAATTTTGGTCGTTAATTTTCGCAGCCAACCCTATGAGTTTGAGGCTTTACTTTGATCTTTCGTGCCAGATTTTACTTGTGTCCACAGATTTTCGTTTGCTGGAAAAAACGACTTCTTGACTTTGTCGTCGTCTTGCAAAACTTCCAAAGATGTACGATATTCTATCAATATCCATTATTATACCTGATAAAAAATTATATAATGATTAATAATTGCATATTGCTTGTCATTCTAATGAACTTTTTTATGGCAATTTCAATATGTTATTTACATATATTTTGTAACAAACCTTGCAGATAAATCAAAAAAATCTGGTGGACGCCTATTTTGGGTTTTAAAACATTGAAAACTTTAAAATAATAGACATTCTATACATAATGATGATTAGGTCGGTTTGTTTTCATCAAACGCCAAGCAAAGCACTTACAAAATGAGCTTCAAATACCTAAACTTTTATGAACACATAAAAATTTTATAACATTTCTAATAGATTTGCCTTGAATTTGGAACCTGAATTTTCCAAATATTAATGTTGGATTCGTTTTTCAATCCAGCTTAATGAATCAAAATCATAAATTAAAATAATCATCGGTTGCTAAAAATGTTTCTTTCAGAATAAGTCACACCAGGCAACATATTTTTAGGCGGTGGTAATGATTTATGTTACTTTTAGGAAATGTGTTCAATAAAAAAAGGTGGTTTGTACCTTTTAATAATGCGTGGAAATACGCTTATACGAATAGAAACAAATACTTTAAAAAAATGTACAGACTTACCAAAACGACTAATTTTTCTTATCACCGAGCACAATACTGAAATATTCTATTTATTTCTTGATAAATGAATCATGAATGTTTTAAAGGGAACTGGAGTAATTTTACGACTCTTCCCGCCGCGACGCTATTTGCAACGTGCGCCGCTTGACAAATGCTGCACTGTTTGTGTTTATTTTTACATTCACACTCTATACTGGGTGTAGAAATACAATTTATTGACGAACTGGTAAAAGCGATGCGTTAGCAACCTTGTGGAAACACGATAGTTTCCTTTCCAGCGAGTTTCCTAAGCCTAAGGCCGGTTGATGGACACAAAAATTGATCATTTTTACTTTTATTATTCAGAAACGAAGTTTACAATGTTGGGGTTCTTCTATACCAAAATCTAGCGCGGAAATCATCAGAACAAGTCAAGAATGCAGCCTGACTGGGCGAATGGGCGATCAGTCTAACTGCTCCATTATGCCCTAAAGACATCAGTTGCTTCCTGGATGCATTCCTGGAATTCCAAGCGCATAGGGATGTGGTCGCTTCGTCAGGGAATAGCACATAGTCTTCAGTATGATTAAACACTGCTTGAGCCTCATATTCCTGTTTCCCAGTTGTGCCTATTAGAGACGATTTCATAAAAACACTATATTGAAGATTGAATTATTTGCTTCATTACCTGCTCCAGTGTAGGCAATCAGGCACCGACTGGTCGAGAGTTCCCACAGCTTACATATTGAATTTTTTCCAGACGATAGCAGATATTTGCCGTTGCGTGAAAAAGACACTGAGCATACTTCAAAACCATCATGAGCTTTTACAAAGGTATTAACACATCTACAAATTATATACAGTATTTCAGTCAACAACATTTTGCTGATCTCTCATGCAGTTACTGCGCTAAATTATATGTTTAAAATGATTGAAGTTAAAATGTTTGCCACAAAATTTACTCACCTATTTGAAACTCCATCCCATATCTTGACGGTTCCATCCTTGCTGCAACTGGCGAAGCACTTTGCATCAGGAGACCATTTAAGATAAGTGACTGTTTGAGTGTGTTGTTGATTGGGAAAAGGGCAGACATAACATTGCAGAGTATTCACATCATACATTCGGATTACTGGATGGGTTGTAGCAACGATTAAGTGATCTCCACTGGGGTGAAATGAGAACCATTTAACCGGTTCAGCTTCCTAAACATTCAAAATAGGAAGCGATCAAAAGCGATTTCAAAAAATTATGCTGATTATTCGAAAAAAAGATGTTCTAAATGAGTTTGAACAGTGTAAAAAGTCTGCTTTATTACCGATATGGTTTTGAATGCCTTCTTCACACTGGCCTTAGATATATCAAACAACTTGATGCTGTGGTCTTTCGATCCTGAACAGAGTATTGTTTCCTTTGGGTGAAATTCTAGGCAGGTGACTTCCTCCATATGGTCATACAATGTTCTAGAAAATAGTCTGTAATAAATTTCCTGCTTACTATTAGAAAAACTAGCAAACCTGATAACTGGGTGTCCTTGTTGCTCAATGGCCCTGGATGGGTCCAATTCATCAGGGGCTGATTTCGCCAACATTCTGTCTACATCTAGGATTTTGATGCTGGCATCCACACTTCCAGTTGCAATTAGTTGCCCGTCTGCAGAGAAGCAACCAGCCCTGCAGTTACCCTTATGTGAAGTAACGTAAGCCGTTTCATAAAGCGCTGGTTCTGGCGCAAGTGTGCTAGAGTCCGTTTCAAATTCCAAATCTATACAAAATACATTAGTGCAACAATTTTTTTGTCTTTAATTTGCCTTTAAACAGTCGTAAAATGTCCAAAACACGTTCTATTCTACAAATGTTTTTGCCAATGAGCAAATCAGTGTTTTGTCATAACTAACAGAATGTGGATTAATGTGGGGCCAATTTTACAGGCAAACGTACCAAGCCCTGGTCCAATGGTATTATTTCCGATTCCAATAGTTGGCGGTCTGCTTTTCCTGTCGGGTTCATGTTCCAACCCAGCTAATGTTATCCTAAATAACCTGTCGCTTGGAGCACAGGCAGGCTCTGCTTGCACTGCTTGAGCCAGACTTTGTCCAAGCTGCTGATGGCCATCATAAAACAGCTGGCTGCAATGCAGAATTCATTTCATGCAGAAAATGTATACGGGAAATAAGAATCATAGTGAGTTTGAAATTTTTTGAACTAGCTACCTTATGATCAGTCTGTACAAAAATTCTCGACTTTTAATCAGATTGTTCGGATCTGGGTCGTCTTCGCTTAGAAACATGTTGCTAGAGTTGGTCATTTTATTAAATATCCTGGAAGGAAAAACTAATCAGAGTTTCTGTTCTGTTGATCTGCTATTGATGTTGACAACGCTTTTAAACAAACCATTATCAAGGTTAGATATATAAAACTTCTTCTCTCATCATCTAACATGTTAATGTCAATTTTCCCCCAATTGTTTGAATACATTTTCAATTTTGTATTAGGCTAATTAGATGCTACTAGACCTAGAATTCGAAAATTAATACCTAATAATTGTTTATAAATACTAATTTTAATTGTGCCCTCCTTATTATTAATTTTTTTTTAAAAGACCCCACCGTGCCAAATCGAGACCCTAATTACGTCTCTGACAAGTATAATTAGTCGCACCCCGTCCTAACCATAGCCACATTTTTTTACGTCAACCCCAGCAGTAAATTATTATGATATGAACAATTCTTTTAATTAGATTTAGGAAAATGTTCCATTCTCTTGCATGCCTTCGCTGCTAATAACGCTCAGTAACTGATGACCGAAAGTGATTTATTATCAGGATACTGCTTTACTACCAAAATGCATTTAACCCCATTGGTAAGTCTTGCCTCTAAGTAAACACTGATAGTTCTAAGTAATATTGAACGTATTTTTAGAACTTAAGATTGGCAGTTTTACTTCTGCTTTGCATACATGGAAGTTTCCAATTTTACGTGCCAGGAATGGCGCCAGCCGATTTCCAGAAGGGAGATATAATTGAAGTTAAGGCAGTTAAAATGACCAGTATTCTTACACAGTTGCCCTATGAGTATTACTCGCTTCCCTTCTGCTTACCGAAAGGAGGCGCCAGTGCGATTCATTACAAGTCTGAAAATTTGGGCGAAGTACTTAGAGGCGATCGAATTGTTAACACTCCATATTTGGTGAAAATGGCCACATCCAATCAGTGCTCCTTGTTGTGCCATTCTCCTGAAAGCCCCATGCATTGGAGTGTTGGAGAATCCCAAATGGTTGTGGATAGAATTCAGCATGAGTATTTCGTTCACCTGTAAGAACATCAATGACTGGAGGTTTTAATTCAAACCATAAATCCTCATCCATTTCAGATTAGTGGACAATCTTCCAGCTGCAACACTCCGAAAGAACGACGAGAATGAATATGAGCATGGCTATAGATTAGGGAACACTGTAGGAGATAGAAGCATAATCAATAATCACCTCAAATTCAAGCTATACTATCACCAACCCCAACCGTAAGGGTTGCAATAATGCGATCTATTGGCATTAACGCTGCCATTTTCAGGGATGTTTATCGCGTAGTAGGATTTGGCCTAACAGCCAAATCAGTTGCGATGGATCAAGTGAAATTTGATGGGAAAAGCTGCAGCTTTCCAGAAGACGCCAAGCCCCAAGTGGTCGATCCCACAACAGGCACAAAACTGTTCTTTACCTATGAAGTGGAATGGGAAGAATCCACCGTCAGTTGGGCTTCCAGATGGGACACCTATTTGGCAATGACCGATGCAGAAATTCATTGGTTTTCCATCGTCAATTCCATTGTGATTATATTCTTCTTATCAGGTAAATCGCGAATAGCTCAAATCGCAGAGACATAGAAAATGCCACAAACATGATGTGGCTGCAAAATCTGTTTCAAAATTGTTATGGGGGCCTGTTGAAAATATTCCACGTTCTATTGAAAGTGGAATATTTTCCGTAAACATTTCACTGTTGTGTAGATATTTAGTACAATGCTTAAGCTGTTGAATTGTAGGTATTTTGACTATGATTATGGTGAGAACTCTAAGAAAGGACATTGCAAAGTACAATGCGGATGAGTTCTTTGATGATGCCGTTGAAGAAACTGGATGGAAGTTGGTGCATGGGGATGTTTTCAGACCGCCGAGAAACTCACGGTTATTTGCTGCACTTGTGGGGTCTGGCGTACAAATCTTCTTGATGGCATTGCCAACATTATGTAAGCCAGCAATAATCTAAGCAAGTTGTGTCGAGTTTCTCCAATTAATCTTTCTGACTAGTCTTTGCCATGTTGGGAATATTGTCGCCAGCTTCCAGAGGAGCGCTAACAAATGCAGCGATAATATTTTACTTAATCAACGGAGCGGTAGCTGGATATATGTCGGCAAGACTTTACAAGACCATGAAGGGAAGAGAATGGAAAAAGGCCGCATTTTTAACTGCCGTTCTCTACCCTGCTGTACTGGCTGTATCATGTTTTGTGCTTAACTTCTTCATATGGGGTACATGCTTTTTTTAAATTAACTTTCAGCGTTTTATGGCATTTGCGTTTTCAGGCAAAGCGAGCAGTGGAGCAGTGCCTTTCTCCACAATGATTTCCTTGCTATTAATGTGGGTGTTTATTTCACTTCCTCTGGTATATTTAGGATACTATTTCGGATATCGCAAACAGCCTTACCAGCACCCCGTAAGAACCAATCAAATTCCGCGCCAAGTTCCTGATCAGCGTTGGTGTCTGAATCCGATTTTATGGTGAGAATCATGCACGAACGATTTTTAAATTTCTCTATCAAGGACTTTTGTGTTTCAGTACCTTGATTGCGGGCATTCTGCCATTTGGTGCAGTATTCATTGAACTGTTCTTTATATTCACGGCGATCTGGCAGAACCAATTTTATTATCTTTTTGGGTTCCTGTTCTTGGTGTTTATCATACTGGTCATTTCCTGCTCACAAATATCGATTGTAATGGTTTATTTCCAACTTTGTGGCGAGGTAAGTGATAATTTATTGTACTTTCACATACATACTCTTTTATCAGAAAAAATCGCGTTTATTTGGAAATGTCTTGGACTTAGCAAGTGTTTTTTTTTCTATAATAGGACTACCACTGGTGGTGGAGAAGCTTTATGGTCTCCGGCGGATCAGCCTTTTACATTCTCGTTTACTCCTTTTTCTATTTTATGACAAAGCTGGAAATCACCGAATTTATCCCTACGCTTCTCTACATCGGTTACACCGGTTTGATGGTATTTACTTTTTGGTTGTTAACCGGCACCATTGGCTATTATGCAGCATATTTGTTTATTAAGAGAATTTATGCTGCAGTCAAGATCGATTAAGCAGGCCACGAACAATAACGATTGAAACGATTACCGCACCTTTGCATGAATAACTGTGTTAATAAATTTGCTGTTTAAATAGCGAATTTGGATTATTGTACATTTAATGTTAACGTGAAATCTTGAAAATGTTTTTGAACATATTCAGTAATAATATTAAATCGTGAAAACCGCGCAAAAGTGATTAGGTGCTACGATAAAGACACATCCAGGCGGATTTTACTGAAACGGGAAAATTTGCATCTGCAGCATAAAGGCAGCAAACGGATCCAGTTAGAGAAATAGGGAAACACTTCGCAGGTTTATCTTTTAATAAATATAGATTTAGCTATTGAATTCATTCTATTAAATGGAATCATTCAGATGAAACATGTACATACGATTTATTTATAATAAGCATTATACTTACACTGTAAGATTATTATTTAAAAACGAAATTTAGTATAAAATGATAATTAATACACGTTTGATGAACTATTAGGGTGGGTTTAGGAATTTAAGTTTTCGTACAGTGCGTTGTAAACGCGAATAACACAAAATAAAATTATAACTTTGCTGTAATTAATTATTTTTTACCCACACAAATGTTTAAAACATTCACTTGTGTTTTGGTTGGGCATACGAACAAAATTTTTACTACTTTGTCAAAAATTAAGGTCGACAAAGTAGTAAAATTCGCTTACTTTATTACTTTTGCTGACTAGTTTTCAGCTTTTGCATAATTTTGGTTGCATTTGAATTATTAATACTAAATCGACTTGCTTACCCATCAAAGTTAAAGTAACAAAATGCCGCAACAGTTCAGTCTTTAAGAGGTTTTGTCCTTCGCAGCACTACCTCGTTTTTTCCTTATTTGAATCAAAGACATAATAACAGGAATCATCACAGGCAGAAACAGCGGAATGTAGATGGCATACCTGAAAATGAGTGAACATTATACGACTGATTAACACACATACATCATACACACTTTTGGTCATCTGGGAAGTACAAAAGGGCCAACAGGGAAGGATGAGCAAAAGCTTCTTCGGAATTTTTAAAAGCCAACTTCGCATACTGCAAAGCACCCTCTTTGTCACCAGTTGCCAGTAGAGTTTCAGCCTCCTGCACACTGTGTAATGCTAAATTAATTTGACTCGCTACCTGGTCACTTATCACAATGCTATTTATTTCTGAGAGCAATTGAGCCAGGGATTTCAAAGTTCTCTTGGAAGATTCCAGCATTTCTTCAATTTTTTTCAGTTTAAATTCCGTCAACACAGCCTCGGAGGTGTTGTTTAAATGGAACAACTCTAATAACATTTGATGAAAATTCAATGCAATCTCCTTCGAATCAGCTGCAAAGTGGCCCGAATTGCAGGAGGACTCATCCAGATTGACCAGATAAATTCCGCCCCATCTGGGACTCACAAAAGCGTTTGTTGGCGATATGTTGTTATCAGAGTCGGCAATATGCAACGGTGCGGTGTGGCAATGCGGAAAATACACAATCAAATTGATGGTTGGTCTTGGCGATGCATGAGACCACAATTTGGTTTCTAATGGGGTGATAACATGGGGCAGCTGGTTTTTCAGTATGAGATTAAAATCCATTACCATTCTGGGTATCGCCGCTAATTCGATTAAGTACAACCACTGCGATTTGACTACAAACTCTGAAATCGGTGATAACTTTTTAAGCAAGTCCTGCAAGAGTGTCTCAATTTCTGATCCATCAGCCTGGATCTTAATTGACTCTGGGTCTGGGTGAACGAACGTTATAAGTATGTCATATTCGAGGCTTAAAGGTATACCAAAGTCACTGGCTTTGGTAGCTTTGATTCGGAGCTCATCAATATCCTCGAGTGGCAAGGGAGCCCTATAAACCCTCGTTGTATACCACCAGATGGGAATTCCCAGCAGCACTAGAACTATGAAGTACGACAGTATACTCAAGGTTCGGAATTTGCGCTCAGAATCATCTAAAAAGCAATTTGAATTCTGAAACAGCGGATGCGAGAAAGGAGTGTCTTATTAACGTTACCTTCGACGAGTTTGGCATCTTTTGCAAGAGCACTTTTCTTTGAATCCTGGACTTTCTTTGGGGCAGTTTTATGGCTCATTGTTAATTGTACAGTATTTTTTATTCAACTTTTACTTAAAGCTTCCAAATGTTGTTTGGGTTACCAAATTTGAGGTTAACTAACTGTTGACAAACTGTTTCAACTGATTTTGGAACGTCAACTGGGGGGCACATAGGATGACTCAGGATCTCATGAGGGGCATATAGACAGTTTTTCGCTTTATCAATATTTTTTTTATAGACAATATATTATTTATATACAGTTTATTTCACTTTGTATCTGGCGGATTTCGGCGTTCTTTTTAATTTTCCCCTAAAGTACACTTAAACAAAGTACATTCAAAAAGAAAAAATGCGGATGATCGATAGAATCAGGCTAGAAAACATTTACAAAATGTAATAAAATATGTTGTTGCCAGACTGCACAAAATGGTTATAAATAAAGGGAATAGTATACTTTCGTGTGTGCTGTAAGTTTGGGTTAGCGCAAACTTAATTAATTAATTAATTTAATCAGCTCCTCGGATTCGAAATGAAAATGTGCGTTCAAAAATTTGTAAAATTAATTTAATATTTTTTTTACAAACTTCTTTTTGGGTATTTCGCCTCAAAAATGTTTGTCTTTAAAAAAGACAGAATTTCCTCACGTTTTTTATTACAGATTGATAA